GGAAGGAGGATGAGGGGGATGAGGGGGATGCGGAAGAGGAGGCGAAGGAGGAGGAGGAGGCTACTGAAGGGGATGACGAGGACGTGGGCAAGGAGGAGGAGGAGGAGGACGGGGATCAGGAATAGGATGGTGATGCTGATGGGGGGTGAGGAGGGGGAAGAGGAGGAGAAGGATGATAATGTGATGATGGTGTGTGAGCGGTGCGATGACGATGGTGGTGAGGAGGAGGATGAGGAGGAAAAAGGGGGTGGGACGAGGAGGAGGGGCAGAGAGAAGGGCGGTAGAAAGAATGGAAACGGAGGAAAGATGCAGACGCGAGAGAAGAGTCGGAAGGGAGAGGAACCTGCGCACAGAGGGATGAGGAGGAGGCGGAGGAGGATCGAAGCGGAGGGGGTGAGGAGGCGCGGTGAGGTGGTATGCGGCAATGAGGACGGCGATGAGGATCAGGAGGAGGATGGGGGCGTGAGGATGCGGAGAGGAAGAGGAGGTGAGGAGGGGGAGGAGGAGAAGAGAGAGGAGGAAGATGAGGAGTGTACGGAGGTGGGGAAGAGGGAGAGGAGGTTGAGGTGGAGGAGGAGGCGGAGGAGGAGTAAGGAGGAGGAGAGGTGGAGGAGGAGGAGGAGGAGGAGGAGGAGGAGAAGGAGGAGGAGGAGGAGGAGGAGGTGGGAGGAGGAGAGGAGGAGGATGTGGGGGGAGGAGGAGGAGGAGCGGAGAGGAGGAGGAGGAGGAGGAGTGAGGAGGAGGAGGAGGAAAAGAAGGTGGATGAGGAGGGGAGGAGAGGGAGGGAGGCGGCGGAGGAGGGGGGGGGGGGGGGGAGGAAGACGGAGGGGGGGGTAGAAGGAGGAGGAGACGGGGTGGAGAGAAGGAGGAGGAGGTAGAGGATGAGGAAGGATAAAGAAGGATAGGTGAAGGAGGGGGAAGAAGGAGGAGGAGGAGGAGAGGAGCATGAGGAGGAGGGTGATAAGGATTGGAGGAGGAGGATGCGGTTTGGGGGAGGAGGAGGAGGGGGAGGAGGAGGGGGAGGAGGATGAGGATGAGGAGGAGGAGGAGGACGAGGATGTGGAGGAGGAGGAGGAGGAGGTGGAGGGTGAAAATGAGGTAAGGAGGGGGGAGGAGGATGAGGAGGAGGAGGAGGGGAAGGAGGAGGAGGAGGAAGAAGAGGAGGAGGAAGAGGAGGATGCGGAGGCGGCGGAGGAGGACGATGATGATATTATTCTTCTTCTTCTCTCCCCCATGTGAGCTCCCTGGCTAGCAACAGGACAAGGCAGCGAACGCGCTAAAACCTGGAACTCGGGTCAGTGGGCTTTGCCCGTCTCGGCCAGAATGAGAAGCTTGCATCCTGACTCACCACCCGAGCAAGTCTAGCAAGAACTGGAACGAAGCTCTATGGCACTGGCCCCCTGAGCACAGCCCCGCCTGTAGCGCCAAGAAGCGCATGGAGGGGAAACATGCTCGAGGCCCTCGAAGACTGACTTCAAGGCGCCGCTCACGCCAGTGGAGAGTCTGTAAATTGAACGCAAAATCCGAGACTGCCCCGACTCCGAAGAAGAAAAAACAACTCTACCTCAGAAGTCTCGAGAACCTCAATGTTCCCTCTCGGTCCTGAAGAACTCCTATATACTTCTAGATCTGCGCCTTCGCCTGGTACTCCCCTAAATTCACCAGGCTCTGTATCACTTCCCGCGCGTTCGGGCCCTTCAGCGGGCTCCCTACCTTTTTGACACTGCCCTCGCTCCTCATGAGGATGGCAGCTACCTCCTCCACCACGGGCCTCAGGGACGGAATTGTGAAGAGCTCGATCCGATACATGTCCCCCAGCCAATTCTGCTGACGGAAGGCCTTTCTCGCTGTGCACACTAATATTTTGTCCTCTCGATCTGCGACCGACTGAACCTCTCTCGAGTGGGCCACCACTTTCTCTTTGGACTCTGCTGGAATTTCGCCGTCGTTCACGATCGACACGCAGAGCCCGATCCACACGTGCAGGCGCGCCCACTTCAGGCGCGCGAGCTCCTCCTGGTTGCCTGCTGCACGATGCTGCGCCTTCACTTCCTCGAAACGAACTCCCGCCTCCCCCATCGCCTCCAACTGCATCTGTGCCGGCCTGACTCACACCACGAGCGTCAGGCAGCCCGCAAAGTGCCTCGACTGGACATCGAGGCCGACCACGGCCTTCGCCGCGTTCACCACAAGATTGCGGTACTCCTCGTCGAAGTTCCCTCCCACTCGCTGTCGTTGGGCTGCTCGCCCGTCTGCCGCCGCGGGAACTCCCGCCGCCGCCTGCGCCACTCCCTGCTGCAGCGCCAACATCTGCCGAGGCACCGAGGAGCTCGGGCACTGCAGGGACGTTGCACTCAGGAAGGGAACGAAAAACCTCACGATCTTCTCGAACCACAAAATGCTTACGGAAGCGTTCGTGTAGAACAGAAAGACTGGTCGCTTCAAACTCGCCGAACGGACACTGAAGGGACCCCTTGTTCGCAATTGCGATTTCAGTCTTCAGCCCAGCCGTAGCGTTTCCCCCTCGTTGTTTAGGACAAGCACGACGTTTATCCAGAACTTCCACATGATGACGAGTCGACTCAATCGAACTGCAAATCCTGAAACACCAGCTGCATTGATTACTGAATTCGGCAAGTTTATGAAGAACCAATGTTTGATGTGCACATCGTTTATGACATTGCAGAGCCCGTAAAGACCTGAAGACCTGGGTGCACGGGGTCCCGTCGGAAAACTGCAGGTCACACGGAAAACTCCCGAATGCTCGGTCCTGAAGTTCTGGAGGTGCATAGTCCCGTTCAAACTCATGGGGGCGGGTGTAGCAGATCACGATCAGGATGGAGAATCGACGCGTTCTCTGGCAGAAAAAGGGCGAACCAACCTCACTCTCGAAGGACGATGATGATGATGCTGATGATGATGATGCTGGTGCTGATGGTGATGGTGCTGATGATGATGCTGATGATGATGCTGCTGCTGATGATGATGCTGAAGACGATGATGACGGCGAGGAGGAGATGGAAGGAGGAAAAAGAGAAAGGCGGGGGAGGAGGAGGAAAAGGAGGAGGAGAAAGAGGAGAAAGAGGAGGAGGAGGAGGAGGAGGAAGAGGAGGAGGTGGAGGAGGAGGAGGAATGGGAGGAGGAGGAGGAGGCGGAGGAGGAAGAGGAGGAGGAAGAGGAGGAGGAGGAGGATGAGGATGAGGAGGAGGAAGAGGAGAAATCGGAGGAGGAGGAGTCGCAAGAGGCGGAGGGGGAGAAGGAGGAGGAGGAGGAGGAGGGTGATGAACATGATGATGATGCTGATGATGCTGCTGCTGATGGTGATGATGATGATAATGATGGTGATGCTGCTGCCGATGCTGATGGTGATGATGCTGAGAGGGGAGGATGATGAGGAAGAGGAGGAGGAGGAGGAGGAGGAGGAGGAGGGGACATGGCGGAGGAGCAGGAGGAAGAAGAGGAGAAGGAGAGCCCGTGTAAGTCAAGAGCCGTTAACGGTGTTGGAATAAAACCTCCCACCAAGCCTCCTCTTCACAGGCCCCTGCAACGGTTTACTTCCACAGAGGGAACTGCCTGGATGGAAGACAACTGTTTCAAAACCTTGCAGCATGCCAAAATGTTGTTCTCGGGATGCCAACGCCACGAATCAACTTGACTGTTGCGTGTTGACCGTCCTGAAACTTGCCAGAACGCCACTCCTTGGAATTCAACACCGCGAATGAACGTAACTGTTGCGCCCTCAGAAGCATGGATCCTTCCAAAACGCAATTCCTGGTACCTTGGTCACTGGAGACCGTGCAACTCTTGCACATTTCCAAAACGAATGTGCGCGCCGCTCAAGCGAGAACCACATTTTGAAAAAGAACCGCCCTCAACCCGTGAAACTCTTACACATTTGGAAGACGAGTGTACGCGGCGCTAAGACGATATCCACATGTTGAAGGCGACTCGCCCCAAACCCGTGAAACTCTTGTTATCAAACAACACGCATGTGCGCGGCGTCAAAGCGATAGTTACAACATGAAAACGACCACCTCCATCTGTGAAGCTGTTGGCCCTTTTTGAGATTCAAGGTCATAGATGGTGAAAAAGTTTCGAGCGAAACGCTCAGCCCGCCCGAACCACTAGCCTCGCGGTGCCACAGGGAGAAGTTATTCAGATGGAACAGGGGTGGAGGAGGAGGAAGAGGAAGAGGAGGAGGAGGAGGAGGAGGAGGAGGAAGAGGAGGAGGAGGAGGAGGAGGAGGAGGAGGTGGAGGTGGAGGAGGAGGAGACGGAGGAGGAGGAGGAGGAGGAGCAGGGGGAGGAGAGGGAGGAGGAGAGGGTGGAGGGGGATCGAGGGGTCGAGCTGTCGAAGGGTCGAGCGCAGTGCGCCCTGCTCCTACCACCCTCAGGGCGAGGCCAGAGCGTCCCGCTCCCCGCCGACCCGTCTCTCCCTCCCTCCTGAGCTGCTTCGCCGTCCCCCTCCGCCCGCCTCGTCCAGCCCTTGTCCTGCTCCCTCTCTCTCTCTGCCGGTCTGTCTGTCTCTCTGCCTGTCTGTAGGTCCGTCTGTCTGCCTCGCTGTCTCGCTGACTCTCCCTCTCTCTCTATCTCTCTCTCTCTCTCTCTTACATCCCCCAACGATCTCCTACGCTGTTCTTCTCCTCCTCTCTCTCCTTTCGTCCGCATCCCCTCCATCCTCTCTCCTCTCTCCTCCCTCAACCTTCCTTCTTCCTCTCTCCTTCTCTCCCTCTCCTCCTCCTCCCTCCTCATCCTCCTCCTCCTCCTCCTCCTCCTCCTTCTCTGCTCCAGCTCCTCCCTCCTCCTCGTCCCCCTCCCCCCCTCCTCACCCCCCCCCCTTCTCCTCTTTACCATTCATCCTCCCTTCCTCATCCAAGCAACTCCTCCCCCCTCCCCACACATGGGGAGGTCTACCGAGCGCGGCCACTGGGCCATCCTGGCCAGGGCCTCGGGAGCCCCCCGGGACCGGGCAGGCAGGGCCGCCGAGCCCTGGGACGCGTCAGGGCTCGTCGAACTGGGACGCCCCCGTCACGCTGTTGTAGAAGTACACCTGCCCCGTGCTCTTCGAAGTCATCCTCCTCCAGTTCGGCGGCAGCGCCTTCTCGGCGGGGGCCTCCGGCTCCGCGTCCTTGGACTCGCCGCTCCTGGTGTTGTACAGGTAGAGGGTGCCCTTGCTCTTCGAGCGGATGCGGATCCAGTCTGGGGGCAGGGGCTTCATGTGCCCGAACAGCCTCTGCTGCGCCGCTGCCCACTCGGGCACCGACGTGGGGTCCCCGACAGCTTCCTTAGTCCGCCGACCCCCGCCTGCCAGGTGGGGGGGGGGGGCGAAGCGTGTGAGATGTCCGTTCCCCCCCACCCCCTGGTTCCCGTTCCCCGTGGGCCTCAAGTCCCGCTGGTGGAAGCAGAGGCCCTGTTGCGAGCTCCCCCACGTGCGTCAGGACCCCGGAGGGGCCTCCAGCACAGCCCGCAGCGTGCCCCCACGGTATACGAACTTCCTCGAGATGGCTTGAGCTGTTTCCCAAGAAGGCTTACGGCTGCTGAGGTTGGCTCTGGGACAGCAGGAGAGGTCGAAGACGGCGCCGCGATGGCCACGAGAGGCAAACATAGGCTCCGATATGGCTTCGCAGACGGCTCCCGAGAGCCAAGCACCGTCACCATGGTGGTAATGATAATGCTTGACTCTTTGCGTGCGATCAAAGTATGGACATATGTATGCTAAGTTGTTAATTGTTATATAGGTGCACATCCATGGTTGTATACATATATGTATGTATACGTATATCGACAGAGAGAGAGAGAAAACAAACAACAAAACGATATTGCATGTCTCAACATGGCCCCAAAATTTGTCTCCGGAAGCCTCCGAGAGCCTCCCACAAGCCCCCCGAGAAGCCAGAAGAAACCCCAGGATGCACCCACGGTGGCACAGGATCCCGAAAAAACCTCCGAGACCGCTTCGAGACGGCCCCGGGACGCCTAGACGACGGCCCCGCGACGCCACCTGACGGCCCCAAGACTTCCCAAGACGGCCCCTGAGGCCTCCCCGGGGACGCCAAGATAGCCCAAAAAGGTCATGACGGCCGCAGCACCCGCTTTCAGAGGGACCCAGGACGGGCCCGTGCGGTTGGAGGTCCTGCCCCCGAGCAGAAATCCTCGGGAGAAGCGCGTGGCAGATCCCCGCTTGGGGGGGGGCCCACCACATCTCCCGCTCCGCTGCTCCCTCCCCTCCTTCCTTGCCTCCTTTCTTGCCTCCTTCCTCTCCTCCTCCTCCTCCTCCTCCTCCTCCTCCTCCTCCTCCTCCTCCTCCTCCTCCTCCTCCTCCTCCCTCCTGCTCCCTCCTCCTCCCTTCTCCTGCACGTCCTCGCGATTCCTGTCCCTGCTGCTGCTGCTGCTGCTCCTGGCTCCTCGTCCCCAAACGTATGCCTCAGCTCTGCCTCGTACGTAGCACCCGCCTCCTCCTACCGACACCGCCACGACAATCCTCTCGCCCAGAGTTGCCGGCGGAGTGGCTCCTGCCTGCAGGACCCTCTTGCTGGGCCCGGAGTCCTCGGCCTCCTGCGGCCGTTTGACGCCGAGCTTCGCGGAGAGCTTCTCCAGGAGATTCTTCTCCCAGTCCGAGCCCTTGTCCTTGTCCTTGCTCTTGCTCCTGGCCTTGCCTTTGCCTTTGCCCTTCGGCACCTCGCGGGGAGTCCAGTCGGTGATCTTGACGCGCACGGCTCTCTCCCGGCCGTCGTCGCCCTCCTCGACCTCGCACTCCACCGCCATGCCCTGTTCCAAGGGGGCCCCTTCGGAGTTCATCACATTGTTCCGGTGGACGAAGGCATCCGGCAGGCTCTCTTCGGTGAACCTCAGGAAGCCGAAGCCTCTCTCCTCCTCCCACCTTGCTATCAGCGCGGTTTTCCTCTTCGAGCTCTTCGCGGCCTTTTTGAGCCCTGTGAGTTTGTCTTGCTCCCGTCCTGCGAGCTTTTCGTCCTCGGAGTCCGTCTCGAGCTCGGAGTCCGCCTCGTACAGGACGCCCCTTGGGGTTTTGCCTTTGGGGCCCTTGCCCTTGCCCTTCGCCTTGCCCGCACCCTGCTTACCCTTGGCGGCCTTCCCCGGGCCGGCGTCGGAGTCGGAGTCGTCCGAGTCTGCCGCGGGCGCACCTTTCTTGCCCTTGCCCTTGGCCCGGCCCTTCCAGGCCTTGCCCTTGGGGGGCGGGAGCTCCTCGTCCTCGGCCTCGTCCTCGGCCTCGTCGCTGTCGTTCTCCTCCACGGCGGGCTCCTTCCGCTTGCCCTTCAGCTTCCCCTTCTTCCCCTTGCTCTTGCCCTTCGGGAGCTGCTTGCTGGCTGCCTCCGCCTCCTCGTCCTCGTCCTCGAGCTCCACCTCCTCCTCGGAGGCCTCCTCAACGGCGCCCGCCCTCGCCTTGCCCTTGCCCTTCTTGCCCACCTTGCCAATCTTGCCCTTGCCCTTCTTGCCCTTCGCCGCACACCCGCCCACGTCGTCCTCGTCGGACGGCTCCTCTTCCTCCACCTCGACCTCCTCCTCGCCGTCGTCCGCCTCCCCCGGCGGGGCGCTGGCGCCCTTGGCCCTCCCCTTGCCGGGCTTCGCCTTCCCCTTCCCCTTGCCCTTGGGCTTGCCCTTGCCAGCCGCACCCTCGGTGGCCACCTGCGGCGCCGCCTCGGCGTCAGCGTCTTCCTCCTCCTCCTCCTCCTCCACCTCCACCTCCTCCTCCTCCTCCCCGACGGCGGCGGCCACCGCGCCGGCAGCCCCAGCGGCGGCGGGCGCGGGCTGCTGCGGCTTCCTCTTGCCCTTCGGCTTCCCCTTGCCCGCGGCCTTCCCGGGCGCCGTCTGCGCAGCGGGTGGCGGGCCCTCCGCATCCACCTCCATCTCGCCATCCCCGGTGTCGGCGGCTTCCTCCGCGGCCGCCTCCTCGGCCACGGCAGCCTCCTCCGCGGCCGGCTCGGCAGCGGCGGCGGCCTCCGCCTCGGCCCCCGTGGTCTCCTCCACGGGCTCCTCGGGCTCCTCCTCAGGCACGAGCCCGTCGTTCAGCTCGGCCAGCATGGCATCGAGCTTGGCGTCGTCGTCGTCGATGGCCCCATCGACGGCCTCCTCCAAAGCCTCGTCGGCATCCGCCATGGCGTCGTCAACACCCAAGACGACGCTAGCGTCACACCATCAAAGCCGCCGCGTCCCCCTCCTCCCCGATGCCTCTTGGCCCCGCGCCGAAGAGACCTTGAATCAAAAGGCTGAGGGACCATGCCATGCCGTAGAGAATCCAGCGTGCCATCAATCGTGTGGGAGGATATGTATATTGGAAGGTTAGCTCACTTCAGACTGGAGCGACTGGGGCAACGCCAAAGGGGAGGCGGTGGCAAATGCAATGGAACTATTGCGCGAACTCTTGCTGGACGTATTGCTTTGGGGCACGAACTTTTGCAAGGGGTGCACACTATGGCGTTCGACAAAGTACACGATTGCATCCAAGCGAAGCTGCTGCGTCCAGACCGCAAACTGCTGCATCCATGCGAAAACTACCGCAATGATTTTGCTTCGAGCGATCCTCACCGAAGCCCTAAGCGTTTGTTCCCGACGGCGCGCGGTCGCCTAATCGGTGGAACGCTGCGCGCGGAGCCCTGTGGTCTCGGCCAGTGCGGCGGTCGGGCTGGGTGGCGAAGTCCGTTATCTCCAAATCCAGCAACCCCAGAGCTCCTGACGCAAGGAATTTAAATAATCCCCGGGGCGAAACAACAAACTTCGATCACGTGCGGTGCGAAACGGATAGAGCGCCGCAGCCTGATGTGTTCTGTCATGTTATGGTGTGTCGTTTTGTGTTATGGCATGTTGGTCGCGGCTATGCTCTGCTGTCGTGGTATGATATGTTCAGTGGTGCGGTGTCAAGGTTTCTATGAGATGTTCTGATGTGTCGTGTTATGGTATGACCTGTCCTGTCAAGGTGTGCTATGTTAGGCTCGGCTCTCTTCTGTTATGTTGTGTCATGCAATATTATAGTATGCCATGCTCCTGCTTGGCATGTTATGTAAGGTTATTTGTGTTGACCGCTCGGCTGTGTATCGTATAGTGTGATCTGCTCTGCTAGTATGTGTCGCTATGCTCTGCTGTCGTGTTGTGATATGTTAGGTGATGCTGCGCCAGGCTAGTATCTACTATGTCGAGGTGTGCTATGTTATGTTATGTTGTGTTATGCGGTATGATGTTATGTCATGTTCTGATCTGGAAGATAATCCGATGTTATGGTATGCTCTATGTTGTCATGACATTGCTGTGTTCTGTGCTGTCATGTTCTGCCATGCCCGTGTTCTCTTCTGCCATGTTATGTTGGTTCATAGTGTGTCCTGTCGTGTTCGTCGTCGCCATGCTCTGCTGCCGTGTGATGATAGGTTATGTCAAGATGTGTTATGGTATGCTCAGTTGTGTTCTGTCGATTTCTGTTATGTCATGTTCTGCTCTGGTATGTTATGTGATGGTATGGTATGCTCTACTTTGTCATGACATTGCTATGCTCTGTTCTGCCATGGTCTGACATGCTCGTTTTCTGTTCTGTCGTCATGTTCGTGTTCGTCGTCGCTTTCGTCGTTTTCGCCGTTTTCAGTGTCACGTTGTGTTCTGTCGTTTTCGTCGTCGCCATGCTCTGCCGTCGTGTTATGATCTGTCATGCAATGGTGTAGCATGATATGGTATGTTGTGTCAAAGTGTGTTATGTTATGCTCGGTTTCATTATGTAATGATGTGTTCTGTCGTGTTAAGTTATGTCATGTTCTGCTCTGGTATGTTCTATAATGTTATGTTATGGTATACCTTGTCGTCATATTGATCGAGGTTGGGGGGTGAAATCGCAATGGAAAAAGGAGACCCCCCAATGACAAATCCTTTCGTTTCGTTCGTGTCGTGCGTGCGTGCCACGTGCGAGGCGAAGCTGCGTGGGCGCGCGAAACGAATGAACCCGCCGTTGCTAAGACGAAGTCAAACAAATGATTATTCCCCTCCCGCCCGTCCGGCGGTGGCCCGCGGTGTCCCGCGGTGTCCCGTGGTGTCCCGTGGTGTCCGGTGGTGTCCGCCGCTGCTAGGGCGAAGTCAAAACAAATGATTATCCCCCTCCCGCCCGTCCGGCGGTGGCCCGCGGTGGCTGTCCCGTGGTGTCCCGTGGTGTCCGCCGTTGCGAAGTCCAGACAAATGATTATCCCCCGCCCGCCCGTCCGGCGGTGGCTCGCGGTGTCCTGTGGTGTCCCGTTGAGTGAGATCGATGACGAGATCGACAGTGAGATCGATAGTGAGATCGAGAATGAACCCCGAGGTGTCCCGTGGTGTCCCAAAAAGGTGCAATCGATACTGAAATCGATAGTGAAATCGACAGGTGTCCCGTTGAATGAGATCGATAGTGATATCGATAGTGATATCGATACTGAGGTCGATCTGGTGCCCCGAGGTGTCCCGTGGTGTCCCGTTGACTGAGATCGATCGTGAGATCGATAATGAGATCGACAGGTGTCCCATGGTGTCCCATGGTGTCCCGTTGAGTGAGATCGATCGTGAGATCGATCGTGAGACCGATGTTGTGTCCCGAAGTGTCCCGTGGTGTCCTATGGTGTCCCGTTGAGTGGATCGATACTGAGATCGATAGTGAGACCGATAGTGGGATGGAGAGGTGCCCCGCGGTGTCTCGTGGTGTCCCGTTGAGTTAGATCGGGAGTGAGATCGATAATGAGATCGACAAGTGTCCCGTGGTGTCCCGTTGGGTGAGATCGAAAGTGACATGGATTGAGTCAGGTGTTTGCTGCCCCCCTTCCCCCCCCCCCCCACGGCCTCCTGATCACCCGAAGGGTGGTCGTATAGATCTGCGTGCGCGGGCGGGGTTCTGAGCGCGAGCTCCTCGGGAATAAATGCTTTTATTGTTTTTTCCATGTTGGCCAAAGCTGTTGAAAGAGCTTCGGATCCCGCGGAAACGACGGCACCAATGCGTGCGAGCCTCAGGGCTCACCCCCAGGCCACGGCAGGGATGCACCTTGAGTGCGCCACCGTCGCCAAGCGACGGGGGTCAGAACGCTGCGGGGCCGCGAGGTGGGGGGGGAGACTCGCACCGAACTGCGCCAAGAAGGCCGAGAAGCTCTCCTAGCTCACGCGAGTCTTTACACATATGAGCCAGCTTGAGAGGTGCGACGGGCGCACGGCACCAAACAGGGCGGCAAGTGGGAGAACCAGAACAGCTGCTGCGCGGTCGAATACGGCCCACAAGCGCTCGCCCCCCATAGCCCGCGCATCAACCGTACACGTATTTCTGCGTGCGCGGGCGGGGTTATGAACGTAAACTCCTTGGGAATAAATGCATTTTTTGTTTTTCCATGTTGGCCATAGCTGATAAAAGAGCTTAAGATTCCTCTGAAAAGACGGCACCAGGACGTGCGGGCCTCAGGACCCACCCCCAGGCCGCGGCAGGGATACACCTTGAGCGCGCCACCGTCGCCAAGCGACCGGGGCCAAAACGCTGCGGGGCCGCGAGGGGGGGGAGGGGGCTCGCGCCAAACTGCGCCAGGAAGACCGAGAGGCTCTCCACTCCCGAGAGCACCAGCTCACGAAACAGCTTTCCACCGTGTTCCAAAGATGGCTGAAAGCCGCCCAAATATTCTCGCAACTGGCCTGATGTTTTACAGTGCGCCCTGATACGAGCTGTTAGAGCATCTAAGAATGTCTGGAGCGAGGAATGAATACTCTGCTGGAACTCATCTCAGCAACGGTTTCACTCTGTATGTCACTCTTTGCCGTCCTCTGGGGGCTCCAGCGGCCTCGAGGCATGATCTTATAACCAACCAGACAGCAGATACTCGTGGGCAGCACTCCCTCTGCGAAAGCAATAGGGGCATGAGAGATGCTTGCGCCCGCCAGTCTGCTCCAGGCCAGTGCGAGAAGCGCGCGAAACGCGCGAGACGAGGCGGCCCAAAGACGGCCTCTGCGCTGCAACTGCAAGCAAACGACCGCTCCTGCGAGCTGATCGTCCAGCGTCACCGTCTCGCGCGCGTCGTCTGACAGGCAGTCTGAGTCCAGGGTGGCGACGTGACCCCACGGCCGCAAGGCTTCGGCTGGGTGACGCCGCTGGAAAGGCCGAGGGCATTGCCTGTGCCAAGACACAGGTGGGAGCCAGCCATCATTATTGCTGCGAACGCGACCTCTCGCGCCCTGGCGTTAGCCAGTCAGTGCGCTGCAGACCAGCGGCGGCATCGGCGGCGCACGCTGAGGCACCTCCAGGCGGCTCCAGACTGACAGCAGCCGTCACGCGCCAGTGTACTGTGGCGTATCCTTACCACATGTGAGCCTTACTAAATGTAGCGTTAGATGGACCTTCGGTGGCACCCTCGGCCCAAAGATACAAGGTAGACTTGGAGAGTGACATCCATGTTCTTCCCAACGTCACAGGCAGGTGCAAGTTCATGGTATTGAGATGGTCAACGAATTGCCGGGCAGCTCGGTGATACCTCGCAATTCAGCGCAAATTCGACTGTCACCCAGCAACTCCAGTCCAGCTTTGGTGCTACTTCACCTCCCTACCTTCAGGCGCGACGGGACATCTGCGGGGTATCTGGCTGAAGAAGCGAACCGGATGCTGCCCGCGCGCCCATCGCAAGCACCCAAGTAGAGAAACTGCGCACCTGGTATTCAGCTGACTGGTGTTGGAGCGGTGCTGGGAGAGAGCACCAATGTTGACCATGTTGTCGAGTAGGTGCGGGACGACGCGCGGTTGGCGCCCCAGGGAACGAGTATGTCATCGAACAATCATCAGGGCGCCCTGGTACCCCAATACATTGATGTGCACTGGAAGATAAAAAAAGCTGTCGAGCCCACGTATTGCCAAAATACCTGCATCATCTCCTGCTGAGGGGTCAACGAGCTCCCCAGAGCTCCCGTGTGTACGTATGTCTGTACCATTGCTGTGGCACGCCATCCCAAGATTCATGATAAGCCTTCGCGAGACATCTGAGTCTTGGCTAGCTCGGCAAGCAGCGCGTCCGCGTGGCAGGGCACCCCCGGCTCGCAGTGGCATGCAAGGGCAGCCCCACGCACGTCATCCAGGCGACCCAGCAGCTGCGGCTGTCCCCGCAGCCAGCCCGCGAACAGCGCCACTGCGT